CACACACACACACACACACACACACACACACACACACACTATTTAAAAATAAGCAGGTAAGATAAGCCTGCATCACTGACATGCACAATAGATAATATGTTACAGTCTGTAAGGCAGGAAAAAGAAGCAATGATCAACTACTAATCCTAGAAATAGCAGAAAATCAGGCTTTATTTTATAATAAATGACATTTAAACTCTTTTACTTAAATTACTTTCATAAAACTGTTGCCATCATCACACTAGCACTGTAAGGCTTCCTGAGGGACACAGGCACCTGAGAAAGGCAGTGTGTTTGCCTTAACAGTATCATGTTAATTCAATATAGCCATGTTACAACATGATAGCTATATTTCTTGCAATGGTGAGACCAGCTCAGACTGGCCTCGAATTCCCCTGCCTCTGCCTCCGCAGCACTGGGATTAAAGGTGTGCACCACCACAGCCAGCTGACAAATTTTCCTTGTCTGACCTGGTTTTCTTTTCTTTGGTCTTTCTTTTCTTTTCTTTTTGTTCTTTTGTTTTTCAAGACATATACACTGTGCCTGATTTTTCACATATATTTTCTTGTTTGCTGCTTTTAACACTGAAGAAAAGTGCCCTTTGCTTTCTTTCACCAGGGAGTAAGCTGGGCAACAGAGAGGCAAGGAATGTGACTCAAGTCCCCTAAGTAGTACAGGACTGACTGGATGCCAAAGTGGAATGCTTGACTTCCCCTTCTAATGTCAATACAGCCACTCAAACAGAATCAGCGCCAGGAGGTCCACGTCCCAGCTCCAGCACTTCTGGTAATTAGCTGTGTGACCCTTGGCAAAGCATTTCCCCAGGCCTTAGCTTTCTCATGTACAGAAAAGAGGAAGTTGGACATCTCTACGATGTCATTCATCTCTAGCTAAGACTGACTCCATATGCTACCAACATCAGAGACCAAGGAACACATAACACAATTGTAGTCCAATGTGAGCCAACTATTCCATTTAAGAATCAGAATATTACTGGCTGTGTGTGGTGATGCACACCTTTAATCTCAGCAGAACCAGATGCAGGCAGATCTCTATGAGTTCGAGGACAGCCAGAGAGCTACACAGAGTGACACTCTCATAAAAACAAAAAACAGACAAACAAACAAACAAAAAACCACAAAGAATTAATACTCTAGTACTAGGTACACCTTCTGTTTCTCACCTCTCTGTTTCTTCACCAGAAATAACAATATACTATGTTTAACTCATCAACTCCTTTGGTTTTGTCTGAACAGTTACAAGGCATTTGTTTGCTTCCCTAACAATATATGTTTAGTTTGGCTCAGGTGGAACTTTATAACTATTATAGTTTATGATACTTAAAATTTAATACTGCATGCCTACAATTCAGTGGATTGTGTCATTTACATTCACAGAGCTTCACTGAGTATAATAGACCACTGTGTAAACACTATAAAACTTATTTACTCATTCTCCTCTTGAAAGAGATTGGCATTCTAGTAATACTGTCACCTTCCCGACAGTTAACAACCATTCTGTAGGTTCTTTTAGGTATTTCTGGTAGACAACTCTATCATCTGCTTGAAAATAGCATTTTATTTCCTTGAACAATGAGGCACAAACTACATACAGATGCCTCAAAATTAGTCCCTTATCCCTTTTTCCTTTCAGCATTCTAAGTCAGCAGTTAAGTACTCTGATTTGTGAGTAGGAAGAAGGAACCAACCTGCATGGTACAGGGCATCCAAAAAGGCCTGGAACCAGCCATCTGTCTGTAGCTGCAGCAGGTACTGGAGGAACAGTGAGGCAGCCTCCATGGGACCCTTGTTGTTTTTCTCAGCCTGGATATACTGGACTTCATCTGCAAACAGAAACAAAGATGAGTGAGCAGCCTGCAGAACCACTCATCACTGGGAGATGAAACACAGCAGACCTTCCCACATGGGCTGGAAGTCCTAACAAGTCACAACAGAAGCAGCAGACTGCACTCATTCATCAGCACACATTTCCCATCCTCTACACAAATGGGTGCAGGGTCTCAGGGTGCGCTATGAAAGGAGTGTCTTTAAGACTTTTGAAAAAAAAAATATCAGTTCCCCACAGTAAATAGAAGCCACAGTGGAGGGTGTTACATGGAAGGAGAAAGGCTTCCTCATTCAAAACTCTGAAGCAATGGTTTAACTAAGTGAATGGGGTGGGAACAAACACCCCATGGCATCAGTAACAAGCAGAGTAGACTAGCAAACACAGTGAGCACTGTGATCGTTTGTTCTACATTTTTGTTAAGAGAGTAAAAAAATACAGCAGAAAAGTGGAAGGAGAGGGAGCTAAAGAAACCAGTGAAAGGGCTGGAGAGATGGCTCAGAGGTTAAGAGCACTGACTGCTCTTCCAGAGGTCCTGAGTTCAATTCCCAGCAACCACATGGTGGCTCACAACCATCCATTATGAGAGCTGGTGCCCTCTTCTGGTGTGCAGATATACATGGAAGCAGAATGTTGTGTACATAATAAATAAAATCTTAAAAAAAAAGAAAGAAACCAGTGAGAGCAGGTGGCAGGAAACACTAGCAACTGACAGTTTCAAAATGGTATCCATTTTGAATATGCACACTAACTCTACCTAGGAAGTAACCAAACCACCATCCTACGGTGGCCTCACATATCCATTTTTTTCCATAGCAGATGGAGTACGAATTCCAAAGGGGGGAATCAGTTGCCTGTGGGGTTTTCAGTGCATTCTTAAGAGACTAGGAGACCCGGCCTGTAACACTCAGCAAAGGTATCTGGAAAGAGCAAGGAGCAGAAGTCTTCTACTTTACCTCCCATTTAAGGATTTCTATCAACAGTAAAGTTACTGTTAACTGATGGGGGACATCCTTCTGTATGCTGTTAATATATGTTCTTAGACTGGTTGACAAACAAAGCTGTTTTGGTCAATGGACAGGCAGAATTAAGCTAGGCGGGAATTCCGAACAAACAGGCAGGGAAGAGAAAGGACAGACACCGTGTAGCTGCTGAGGAGGCAGGATCCCCAGGCGTCAACAGTAAGTGAAGGCTAAGAGTAAGTGAAGGCTATTAAATAGATTAATAGAAATGCATTAGTAATCAAGAAAGAGCTAGCCAGTAAGAAGCCTAAGCCAATGGCCAAACAATTATAAATATATATTAAGTCTCTGAATGGTTATTTCTTAAGTGGCTGTGGGACCGGGTAGGCAGAGGAAAACCAGTCCAGTGGGACCAAGATAGATGGAGAAAATCTCCTTCTACATTCAACAGTCACATTTTCTCTATTCAAGGGAAAAACCTGATGGATTTTAGAGTTTGGACTCTATCCCAACTATTGAATTACAATGAAAAAGAAACTCTTTACCCATTTAGCAATCACTCTCTTCTCTCTCCCCTTCACACTAGACAATCACTAACAACTTCATAGACTTTACTATCCAGGACTTTTCAGGCCTTGTGAGGCAAGTGCTCTACCACTGAGCTACAGCCCCAGCTCCCATCTGGACATTTATAAATGTGACTAGTTCCATGTAGCATATGGTCTTTGCAGCTGGTGACTTTCATTTGGCATGTTTTAAGGTTCATTCATCTTGTATATGCTCTCATTCTTTCCTTTAATAAAAAGCTATACTATAAGATTGCAACAAGTCAAATGAAATTCCATTGCAAGGAGGTTTCGTATTGCACTTGTCCATTCCACTGTCAACAGGGGCCGTGCCTACATTTTGTCTATTTTGAATAGAAATGTAATGAGTACTTCTCTTAGTTACTAGTTTTTGCTGTGAAGAGACATCATGGCCATGGCAACTCTTCTAACAAGAAAGCATTTAACTGGGGGTTTGCATCAGGGGGTAAGTCCATTATCATCATGGCAGGGAGCGTGACAGCATACAGGCTGGAGCAGTGACTGAGAGCTACATTCTGATCTGCAGGGAGAAAGAGAGAGAGAGAGAGAGAGAGAGAGAGAGAGAGAGAGAGAGGCGGGGACACACACTTCCTTCAACAAGATCATATCTACTCCAGCAAGGTCACACCTCCTAACTCTTCTAATCCTTTCAAACAGTTCTCCAATCTGGTGATTAAGCATTCAAATATATGAGCCCAAGTGGGGGGGGGCAGTCTCATTCAAACCACCACAGTACTCTATACAACTGTTGTGCAAATGCACTTCTCTTAGGCACACATATAAATGTAAGACTGCTGGGCCATGCAGCAACTTTGTTTTTAACATTGTACAAAACTGACAAACCATTTTCCAAAGAAGCTGCACAATTTTGCAACCCCACTAGCAATCTGGTATTTTCTACACATCCTAAGCAGTGCCTGTGACTGTCCTTTTCATTAAGCCATCTGTATGAGCTTCCTGTGGGTGAAATGACACTTTGACACAAACCCATAACTTAAGGCAGTAGAAACACATTTTTCACAGCTCTAAGCCTGTACGTGTTAGGGGCCATGAGAGATAGAGCAGGTGATAACTGGTATTCAACAGGCCTACCTAGCAGATATGTACATCTGAAATTAAGGTGTTGGTGAGGCCATGCTTCCATCAAGGACTAGAAGGAAACGCTTTCCTTGCCTCTTTCAGCCTAGGCAGCCATCAAGATTCTGCACGTATGACCTCTTGCACTCCAGTCTCTGTCCATCTTCACACTGTTGGCTCCTCATCTGGCTTGTAGCTCTCTCACTACACGCCTGCCTCTATCTTCACAAGGCATTTTCTTGATCTTTATGCCTACACATGGCTGTCAGTATACTACCTTACTCCAACATGACCCCATTTTAGTCAGTTACCTATGTAAAGACCCCATCTCCAAATAAGATCATGTTCTGAGTTACTGGGAATTAGCACCCCAACATAATTCAACTCATAACAGCAACCCATCTGGTCACTTCACCCAGCTTCCCTGCGTCCACAACCTTACCTCTTTGAGTCCATCTGTCCTCTTGCTAACAGCTATTAGCTGTCCTATTACTGTAATCTGTCCTATTTCTTACAGCTGTGTTCTTACTTCCTGTGACATGATCTTCCCTTAGACCAGCCATCACTGATAGATATACCATGACGACCAGATGTGTCCCAGCCACAGCGGAGGCCTTCAGGGTTAAACTGTCTTGTCACACACATCCTGGGCAGTTCATACTTTGCACTTGGTATGGCTCATCCTCCTGCCCACCATATCCAGTACAAGTCAGTAATGATTTCATCCAAATCACCAGGACTTCAAAGCAGAAGAAACTTCATCTTTTGGAAAAATTGACAGTTCCCACTGTTTGCTGTTCTACCCCACCCCCCCAATGTCCTCAGCTTCCCATGGTAGAGATTTTAAAATTGTTCTCTGTGCTTCCCTATTCTCTTTGAAACCTCTGAGTAAGACACTTTACATTGTACACAATAGTTGTGTATTTACCTTCTCCTCCCTAACACTGTGACATGGACATGTTTCATTCATTTTTACATTCTACTGAACACAGTGCCTGGTTTATCCATGTGTCTGGAAGGTGTTACTAAGAAATAGATACTGAGAATACTACCCATCCAGTGCTCCTCTAGGGTAAGGTTGAGTTTTAAAACATTACACAGTCTTTTACATATCTTTTTAACTTACCGAAAGTTTTTTTTTTGTTTGTTTGCTTTTTGGCATTTGTTTGTCTTTTCAAGGCAGGGTTTTTCTGTTTAGCCCTGCCTGACCTGGAACTTGCTCTGTAGACCAGGCTGTTCTAGAACTCAGAGATCCACCTGCCTCTGCCTTCCACATGCCACCACCACCTGGCCAATCTCATGGCTGTAGTATAACTATGAATTAACTTGAGGAGACCTAAAACATGTACAGACTTGCATCCTAATCTGGACTTTATCACAATGCATAAATGCATATTCCCCATTATAACCCAAAGTTTGCTGAACCCTAATAGTCTTTGCAAAGCAGAGGCAAAAGCAATCCAAATTCAATTGTTTTTAATACTTTGTTTCCTCTTTTTATCACTGTTTTGTGTGTTTGTTTTTGTTTTTGTTTTTGGAGACAGGGTTTCTCTGTGTAACAGTCCTGGCTGTCCTGGAACTCACTCTGTAGAGCAGGCCTCTAAGTCACTGAGCTCCTCCTGTCTCTGCCTCCCAAGTGCTGGACTAAAGGCGTGCAACACCACTGCCCAGCTTATCGTGGTATTTTTCAAAGCTTGTGTTTTATAATTACGTGTATAGTTAGTGTCTGTGGGGGGATATGTGCATATGAAGATAGTGTTGGATCCTCTGGAACTGGAGTTATAGGCAGCCTGATTTGGGTCCTGGGAAACCAAGTCAGGTCCTCTGCGAGACCTGTCATCATCTCTCCAGCCCTTATCATCCTATGTTTTAAGCTAAATCTCCTCCCCACATCCCACACTCTCTTTTGTGAAAGGGTTGTTGACTCATTTTTTTTTTTTAATTCATTTCTAAGAATCCTTTGTGTCTTAGGAAAAGGTTTCATTTCTAACTGTTTGCTCTGGAATATGAAAACATGCACCTTTTTGCAGTTAACTGGAGGAACTCTATTAGTTTCAGTTCTTAGAAGGACATTTTTTTTCTTTATTTTAGCTGATTTGCTTTCCTTGGGACTTTCTGGCTATTACTGTTTCTCATTGCTATTGTCTTTTGTTTGCATTGCTTTGTTTTTTTTGTTTGTTTGTTTTGGTTTTTTTTTTTTTTTTGGTTTTTTTCCAGACAGAGTTCTCTGTGGTTTTGGAGGCTGTCCTGGAACTGGCTCTTGTAGACCAGACAGCCTCCTCCTCCTGAGTGCTGGGATTAAAGGTGTGTACCACCACCGCCCGGCACATTGCTATGTTTTAATAGAGCCAACTAATTCCTTAGTTTCATTCTTTTGAATTACCAATTAATACACTTAAGCTGTAATTTTCCCTGTTTGGAGGCTTAACTGATATCTTTTGTTTTAAATTTATTTATTTATTATGTATACAACAATCTGCTTCCACTAGAAGAGGGCACCAGATTTCATAACGGATGGTTGTGAGCCACCATGTGGTTGCTGGGAATTGAACTCAGGACCTCTGGAAGAGCAGCTCATGCTCTTAACCTCTGAGCCATCTCTCCAGCCCCCTTAACTGATATCTTAAACGTGTAGTGTGTGGGTTGATTGGTAGCTTTACTTTAAAAGTGGCTAGCAATATTTTGATTTTCTTTTAGTTAAGAGTTATTTAAACGGACTCTTGTTATTGTTCTTTATTTCTTTATTTGCTTCTTTGAGTGTGTGTGTGTGTGTGTGTGTGTGTGTGTGTGATGCATGCAAATGTGCAGAGTGGCCAGAGAACAACTTGCAGGAGCTGATTCTCTCCTTCTACCAAGTGGGTGTCTTGAAAATCAAACTCAGGTGGGCAGGATTGGCAGGAAGTGCCTTTACTTATAAGGCCATCTTGTGGTCCTAAAGTATGATGCTTTGAAATTATATAATTTTTTAAAAGTCCTATGATTAATTCTAAGGACATAGAATGCCCATTGCTAATGTAGTATAATGGACATTTATTCGCAAAATCCTCAAACATTATTATTCCTATCATACAGATAAAGAAACTGAAACAGACTTAAACCATTTTCCTGGAGTCCCAAACCTGCAAATTGAAGAATGAATTTATATAAACCATGCTTTGGAACATTTGCTTAAGATTTATGTAGTGTTGTATTTAAGAAAGCTTACAGATATGAGGAAGTTGATATACTCTCATTTTATGGGGTATAAAATTGTATATGTGGCCTCACAGTCATTCTGACTGCATTAAAAACAACCTGTATCTTCATGATACTAATGAGCTAATTCAACAATATTGATAAGATGCTTGATAACACCCAGGTGTTTTTTAGTTTTAAGTTGTCCTGCCACATTTATTTTGCAACAATGCTGTATTGTGGTGCCAGATGCTAGTGGCACTCATCTTTAGTCCCAGAACTAAGGAGGCAGAGGCAGGTGTTACTCTGAGTTAGAAGTCAGCCTGGTCTAACTCAGGTCTACAGAGTGAGTTTCAGGGTAACCAGGGCTACTCAAAGAAACCCTGTCTCCGAAAACAAACAAACAAACAAACAAAAAAACAACCAATGATACTCCAATAAAAAAAAAAAAAAAAAAAAAGCAGGGCAGTGGTGGCTCACACCTTTAATCCCAGCACGTGAGAGGCAAAGGCAGACAGATCTCTGTGAATTCGAGACCAGCATGGTCTACAAGAGCTAGTTCCAGGACAGGCTCCAAAGCCACAGAGAAACCCTGTCTCAAAAACAAAACAAAACAAAAATTGCATTGTGAATTAGCTATCCTTTGAAATCTTTTTTTCCTCTCTTTTTAAATTTAAATTAGAAACAATCTTGTTTTACATATAAATCCCAGTTCCCTCTCCCTCCCATGCCACACACCAACCCCCCAACCCAATCCCTTTCTGCTCTCCAGGGAGGGAGGGTGCAATCTTCCATGGGGAATCTTCAAAGTCTGTTTAATCATTTGAAACAGGGCCAAGCCCCTCTCCCCCCAAGTGTCTAGGCTGAGAGAGCATCCCTCTTGAGTGTAATGGGCTCTCAAAGTCCATTCGTACACTAGGGATAAATACTGATCCACTACCAGAGGCCCCATAGACTGACCAGGCCTCCTAACTGATACCCATGTTCAGGAGGGTCTGGGTGAGTCCTATGCTGATTTCCCAGCTATCAGTCTGGGGTCCATGAGCTCCCCCTTGTTCAGGTCAGCTGTTTCTGTGGGTTTCCTCAGCCTGATCTTGACCCTTTTGCTCATCACTCATCCCTCTCTGAAACTGGATTCCAGGAGTTTGGCTCAGTGCTTAGCTGTGGGTGTCTGCTTCCATCAGCTACTGAATGAAGGGGCTCTAGGGTGGCATATAAGGTAGTCATCAATCTCATTATAGGGGAAGGTTATTTAAGGTAGCCTCTCCACTATTGCTTAGATTTTTTTAGTTGGAGTCATCCTTGTAGATCTCTGGACATTTCCCTAGTGCCAGATTTCTCTTTAAACCTATAATGGCTCCCTCTATTAAGGTATCTCTTTTCTTGCTCTCCTTTATTCTTCCCTCGACTCAATTTTCTTGCTCCCTCATGTCCTCCTCTCCCCTCCTGTTCTCCTCCTCTCTTTCTTACAGCCCCCTCTCCCCTTCCCCCATGCTCCCAATTTGCTCAGAAGATCTTGTCTCTTTTCTCTTCTCTGGGGGGACAATGTATGTCTCTCCTAGGGTCCTCCTTTTTTCCTCAATTCTCTGGAGTTGTGGATTGTAGGTTGGTAATCCTTTGCTTTATGTCTAATATCCATATATGAGTGAGTACATACCATGTTTGTCTTTTTGTGACAGGGTTACCTCACTCAGGATGGTTTCTTCTGGTTCCATCCATTTGCTTGTGAATTTCAAGATTTCGTTGCTTTTTTTTCCCCCCACTGAATAGTACTCCATTGTGTAAATGTACCCCATTTTCTCCATCCATTCTTCAGTTGAGGGACATCTAGGTTGCATCCAGGTTCAGGCTATTACAAATAATGCTGCTATGCACATAGATGAACTGATGTCCTTGTGGTATGAATATGCTTCCTTTGGGTATATGCCTAAGAGTGGAATTGCTGGATCTTGAGGTAAACGGATTCCCTTTTTCCTGAGGAACCATCATACTGATTTCCAAAGTGGCTATACCAGTTTGCACTCTCGCCAGCAATGGAGAAATGTTCCCCTTTCTCCACATCCTCTCCAGGATAAACTGTCATTGGTGTTTTTGATTTTAGCCATTCTCAAAAGTTGTTTTGATTTGCATTTCCCTGATGGCTAAGGATGTTGAGCACTTTCTTAAATGTCTTTCAGCCATTTTAGATTCCTCTATTGAGAATTGTCCACTTAGTTCTGTACCCCACTTTTTAATTGGATTACTTGGTGTTTTGATGACTAGCTTCTTGAATTCTTTGTATATTTTGGAATCTAAGCAATAGTGGAGAGGCTACCTTAAATGCCCTTCCCCCATAATGAGATTGATGACTACCTTATATGCCACCCTAGAGCCTGTAGGATGATGGAAGCAGATTCAGTAGCTGATGGAAGCAGACACCCACAGCCAAGCACTGAGCCAAACTCCTGGAATCCAATTTCAGAGAGGGATGAGTGATGAGCAAAAAGTGGAGAGGCTACCTTAAATGCCCTTCCCCCATAATGAGATTGATGACTACCTTATATGCCACCCTAGAGCCTGTAGGATGATGGAAGCAGATTCAGTAGCTGATGGAAGCAGACACCCACAGCCAAGCACTGAGCCAAACTCCTGGAATCCAATTTCAGAGAGGGATGAGTGATGAGCAAAAGGGTCAAGATCAGGCTGAGGAAACCCACAGAAACAGCTGACCTGAACAAGGGGGAGCTCATGGACCCCAGACTGATAGCTGGGAAATCAGCATAGGACTCACCCAGACCCTCCTGAACATGGGTGTCAGCTAGGAGGCCTGGGCAGTCTATGGGGCCTCTGGCAGTGGATCAGTATTTATCCTAGTGTACGAATGGACTTTGGGAAGCCCATTCCACATTAGAGGGATGCTCTCTCAGCCTAGACACTCGGGGGAGGAGGCCCTGTTTCAAATGATATGACAGACTTTGAAGATCCCCATGGAAGGCCTCACTCTCCCTGGGGAGCAGAAGAGGGATGGGTTGGGGGGGCATGGGAGGGAGAGGGAACTGGGACTGATATGTAAAATAAAATTGTTTCTAATTTAAATTTTTAAAAAATTTAGGAAAAAAAGAAATCGGCAAATTCCTAGACACTGTCTATCAAAATTTAATGAAGAGGATATAAACAAAGAGATCTATAACAAGAAAAAAAAATCTCCAAATGAAGAAAAGCCTAGAATTAGATGATTCACTGCCTAATTCTACCAAACCTTTAAAGAAAAGGTAACATCAAGATTCTTCAACATGTGCCATAGAATCGAAGGGGAAGGGACACCAACAAACACTGTCTACAAAGCTGCCATTACTCTGATAGTGAAATTAGATTAGTACATGGTAGAAGAAAGAAAGGAAGGAAGGAAAAACAATTTTTCTGATTAACATACAAACAAGTAGCTCTCTGACATGCCTTTAACAAACATGGCAAAAAAGAAATCAGAAAAGGGGGTTACTATCCACAGTAGCCTCAAACAAACAACAAACCCTAACCCTAACCAAAGAGTTGAAAGACTACTTCAATGCAAACTTTCAAGACAGAAAAAAAAGCAAAAGAACAAAACAAACCAATTTCTTTCATCTTAAAGAGAATAAGAGACAGTTTATTCTGGCGCCATTCTGAGTGACCATGGCCCAGGAATACAGATTTAGGTTACCCCAAACTCTTAACGAAGTTTCATCCACTTTGCAGGAACTGTCCCTGACCATCAAACCCAGTTGCTGTCCAGTCTAATATGCCATAGGCGTCTGGCACAAGCCCAGTGTACCTAGGTTAGTTACCCAAACTGGCCTAAAGAAAGCAGAAAAAGGGGGGGGTGAGGAATGGGACCCCAATTGGTTTTGGCCTGAGTGTTTTTTTTTCTTTTTTTTTTTCTTTTTTCCACACCTACTTGGAAAGCCTGAGAGCCAGCGCATCTGGGAACACTCACCATCCTGGAGCCAGGGACTCATGTAGCTGAGGATGTAGGTGGGGTCCAGAGTCTTCCTGACATAGTCTCTGAACGCTTGCAGATTCTGCCTCTGTTCAGCTGTCATTCTGTGTCTCCCCCCGAGCGATGATCGCCCTGGATCCCCCAAAGCCACTAGAAGTGAGCCCTGTAGGGATGTTCCAAGAAGACACCCAGAGCCACAAGCCGCCAGGGCCTGAGAGAGGAAATCGAAACTGCCCTCGCGGCGCTGGGGGCGGGGATTCAGTTTCCTTTCTGATCCCGTGAGGCGCTGGCCAGGAGGGACCCAAAGGCTCCTTGGCAACAGCCTTGAAGTTTGCGGGCTGCTTTTGGAGTGGTGCGGTTTATATTATAAAGTGCGCACAGTTGAAGTGTACAGTTCAATGAATTCCGAAAAACCGAGACACAGTTACCTCTTCCGACAGATCAGCTGGGTCCTGCAGAAATCTCTGCTTTGTTAGGAAACTATCACCTCTTTTCCAAAGTGACAACACCAGTTTGCATTCCCACTCGGAGTTATAGAACTAAAGCTGACATGCATCTGTTGGATACAGATGGTTTTCTTTCTTTCTCTGTAGCAAATTGATAATTACTGTAGTTTTATCTTCCCATATAGTTAATGATTCTGAACACATGCCTGTCTTTGTTTAGCTATTATACTATCTTTTGAATGTGTATATTGAACATAAAAATTGTATATATTCAAATATCATATTCCTGTTTGCAGCTTACCACTCCAATTTCCTTAAAGGTGTTTTTTGATGAGTATTACATTTATATTAATAAAATATAATTATCAGGGTCTCCTTTCACGGCTTCATGACTTTTTTTTAAAATTTAAATTAGAAACAAGATTGTTTTACTTGTCAATCCCTGTTCCCTCTCCCTCCCCTCCTCACCTGCCCTGCCCTCCATGACTAATTATTTATTTAGCTTTTTTTTGTTTTTTTGTTTGTTTTGTTTTGAGACAGGGTTTCTCTGTGTAGCTTTGGAGCATGTCCTGGCACTCGCTCTGGAGACCAGGCTGGCCTCGAACTCACAGAGATCCGCCTGCCTCTGCCTCCCGAGTGCTGGGATTAAAGGCCTGCGCCACCAACACCCAGTATTTTGCTTTTTTGAAACAGGGTTTCTTGTAACCCTGGCTGCTCTGGAATTTGCTCTGTAGATCCAGCTGGCCTCTGTCTCCCAAGTGTTGGGATTAAAGGCATGTGCCACTCAGTGATTTTATGACTTTTATTAATTTCCATTCTTTTTTTTTTTATGAGAATAGGCAAAGTTTATCACTAACCACGGTTGGAAAGGATCAGAGATGCGGGTATAATTTGCTTTCTGGTTCTGTGATAAAACACTGACCAAGAGTGTTTATTTGGTTTCCTGTTTTCAAGTCCATCATCAAGGGAAGCCAAGGCAGGAACTCAAGGCTTTAGAAACCTGGAGGTTGGGATTGAAACAGAAACCATGGAGGAATACAATTTACTGGCTTGCTTGCGCTGGTTTGCTCAGAATACCTTTCTTATAACCCAGCCTAGGGATTATAGTGTTTGAAGTATGACAGGCACTTCTTCATCAATCAGCAACCAAGATGTTTCAGTACAGACCAGTCTCGTGGAGGCCATTCTCAGTTGGGTTTCCTCGGGGGTTTTTTTTTTTTTTTGTTTTTTTCTTTTTTTTTTTTTTTTTTTTTTTTTTTTTTTTTTTTTTTTTCTTTTTAGAGATTTATTTATTATGTGTAGAAAGTTCGACCTGCATGTATGCCTGCAGGCCAAAAGAGGGCACCAAATCTCATTACAGATGAGATAAGCCACCATGTGGTTGCTGGGAATGAACTCAGGACCGTTGGAAGAGAGCCATCTCTCCAGCCCGAGGTTCCCTCAACTTAAAGTCCAGATTTCTGTCAAGTTGACATAAACTATGACAGATGCCCCCTGTCAGATTAATGACATTTTCTTTTATATTTAAGGTTTTTTTTTCCTTTAGCATGAATGAGTGAATTTTTTCAACTGTCTTTTTCCCCCATCTATTGAGGTGATCATATATTTGTTAACATGCCAAATTTTATTGATTTTATTTTGTTTTGATTGAGACAGGGTTCTATGTAGCCTAAAATGGCCTGAAACTCGCTATATAGCCTAGGATGACCTTTGAACTGTTCCTCCTGCTTCTGCCTCTAGAATGCTAAGATTACAAGTTTGTGCCAACATGCTTGGGTCATTGATGGACTTGTAAATTTAAATAGGCCTAGAATTCCTGGAATAAACCTCTTCTGATGACAATCTTTTCTATATACTTCTGTATTCAATTTGCTAGTATTTTCATACAGTTGGTTATTTTTTTATTTTGTCTGTGTTCATAAAGGATATTGGTCTGCAAGTTTTTGTAACACTTTTTGTGTTAGGATCCTAAGAGTTTGTGTACTAGTATATTTTTTTTCTCCTTAAGTTGAAAGACCAAAAGTTAAAATTAATAAAAGTTTAAAAACTTGGGCCCTAAATCTATACAGAGAAAGGGAACTTCTAATGGTAAAGGAAATTTTGACTCCTTATATCAGGAGTGCTGTAGCTGGTGCCTGAGTCCTGCTCTCAGAGAAGGGGAGGTGATCCTCCACCACTTGGGTCAACATTCCTGTCTGCTAATTGCTGGTCCTAAAGTTGTAAAGATCCCCAGCCCAGAGGATAACTGACAGACCCTGTGACTCTGTAACCTTATGCCTTGTCTTATCTCACTCAAATATATCTTGTTTAAAATATATAGTTACTGCTTTACTCTGTACTTTGTATGACCTTAAGTAACCATGGAAACTCTTGAAATTTGTGGCCTTCAACCTTATGGTCACATAAGATTTTTGGCTGGTTGGCATCTCATTTCCCACCATGGAGTGAGATCCAAGCTGGCCAGCTTGAACAATAAAAAGAAACCTTAGCCAGGCGGTGGTGGTGCATGCCTTTAGTCCCAGCACTCGGGAGGCATAGGCAGGCAGATCTCTGTGAGTTGGAGACCAGCCTGGTCTACAAGCGCTAGTTCCAGGACAGTCTCCAAAACCCACAAAGAAACCCTGTCTCAAAAAACCAAAAAAATAAATAAATAAATAAGATAAAATAAAAAGGAATCTTTTGCTTTTTGCATCAGAGTGTTGACTCCTTGGATTAGTCTCTGGGCTCCCGAAACCTGGCACAACAAAGTATCAACAGAATTTGCCAAAAAGACCATTTGGGCTGGGAGTCATAGTTGTCTGGATTCAATTTCATTATTACATAAAAGGCTATTCATATTTTTTTAAACTTCATCTTGAATCAATCAATTTTGGTAAGTTATGTTTTTTTTTTAAAATGGTAAAATAATTAAATGAGAATGTATTAGACTGGAGCAACTCAAAGGCCCAAAAAAGGAGCCTAGGAAATAGAAGAGGAGACAAGCTCAGCCAATCACAGGTACCAAATAGGCGTTCTTTTTGTTTGTTTTGTTTTTGTTTTTTAAGACAGGGTTTCTCTGTATTGCTTTGGACCCTGTCCTGGAACTCTCTAGACCAGGCTGGCCTCAAACTCAGAGATCCACCTGCCTCTGTCTCCTGAGTGCTGGGATTAAAGGCATGCACCACCAACACCCAGCTCAAGTAGCTGTTTTTTTACATCTTCTTGAACTGCTCACAGGAAGGTCCAGGAAAGACAAATTGCCCAAACGTCAAGCAACCAAATAATATTGCTTTCCTTATGGATTCAACTACAAACAAAAGAACTTTCCACCAACACCCTCTAGCCAAGCTCTGAGCTGCACCAGTTTGTAGGTGCTCAAATAAGCACCTTAAACATGTAATGTGGCCCAAGTATCTTCAAACACAGCACATCTGACCATGTCTTCTAAATTGCTAAAATAATGGCATTACTTAATTTTTTAAAAACCCATTTTAAAAAATCTATCCATGCTAGACATTTGCCAATGTTATCTTTTCGGAGAACCAACTTTTGCTCTGATAAATTTCTTCATTACCATTCCATTTTCTATTTCACTGATCTCTGCTGTAAACATTAGTTTTTCTTTTCCACTTGCCATTATTTACCATTCTTATACTAGCTTCTGCTGCTTCTTTTTTTTTTCAAGACAGGGTTTCTCTGTAAAAATCTGTCTGCCTCTGCCTCACGAGTGCTGGAATTAAAGGTGTGTGACACCATCACCCTGCTTGTACTAGTTTCTTAAAATAGGATTCTGTATTACTTATTTTATACAGTTATCCTTGTATAAAAGCAGGTGAGTTATTTTGTTTCCTGTTTCCAAATGGGAATCTAGAACATTGCATAAACCTTGGTGTTATTTCCATGGCATGCCATTTGCAATAGTTCCTAGTGTCCTTGTGAATTCTTCGTGACTTCCAGATAAGAATGCTAAGAATTTCCTAAATAGCTCAGAGCTATTGACTCCTGATTTTAATCTGTTGAGGTCTATACACTGCAATATTTTAGCTTTTTGAAATTTAATGAAACTTGTTTAGGGCGTGGGCATACGAACTATTTTGAAATACATTCCAGAGGAACTTAAGCTTAAAAGGATTGGGGTTTGGGGAGATGGCTCAGTAGGTAAAGTGCTTGTCACACAAGCATGAGTATCTAAATCCAATCCCTAGAACCCACATAAAAATGCCATGTAAGCACAGCATTGAGGAGGCAGAGACGGGAGGATTCCTGGGGCTCTCTGTTGAGCTCATCTATCCTGATTGGTGATCTCCAAGGCAGAGATGACAGACTCTGACAGGGGACATGAGATGACATTCCTGAGAGTGACACCTACCATATGCATAAACACAAAAATGCACCTGCACAACACAAACATGCATACAAAGAAAGGACAGGTATTCCACAGCTTTAGGGCAGGAGGCAGAGGCAGGCAGATCTTTCTGAGTTCGAGGCCAGCCTGGTCTACAGAGTTCCAAGATAGCCAGGGTTACACAGAGAAACCCTGTCTTGAAGCCTCCCCACCCCCCTCCAAAAAAAGAAACCAACTACATTTAATTATTGGTATGGATTTAAATTTTTGATTTTTCTGTTTGTTGTATCTAATTTTATTCTGAATTTCATTCCTTTGAATTATTCAAATATAATTTTACTTTACCCTTAGTGACATATCCTTCCTCATAAGTGTGTGTGTGTTTGTTATTTAATGGTTGCTCCAAAGATTACACACACAGCCTTAATTTACTTCAGTTCAATTGATACCATACTTTATCAGGTAAAAGATCTTTATAACCA